ATAGATTTTTTGTTTTATTTTGTGTTTACACAGCACATTTTATAGATATGTATAAAAAAAAAAGATTTTGCATGCGACATAATGATTTGATGACAACAACGTGCCGGCACCGTCATTTTTGGGCTTTGGTTTGCCTTGCCGGAATATGTATTGTCACCACCCACGCGTTGCTAAGTGAGAAAACTTTTCTTACGCGCTTCTAAAACTTTATCTAATTGTTGTCTTTTATATATAGTTTTCACTTCGAAAATGCTTTTCCTAAAAAAAAACTACACAAAAAAAATAGTATTTTTAAAGTTAATCATTTTAAATACTTTGGTGACACTTTCGTTATTTTGTTTTTATAAAATGATCCTAAGAATTAAGGGAGAGAGAACTCCTCAACCATGTTGAGATTTGTTTAACAATGATGGTAATAAACGTTTGAAAAGTTTTTTCTATTATTATTATTATCATCGTTATTGAATACATAATAATAAAAACTAATAAAATTATTATTATTATTATAATTATAAAATTAAATTAAAATCATTTTTATATTCTTTTTGTAAATAGCTTTCATTTATACTGCACATAAATTTTTAATTAGAAAATAGTTTAGAAAAATGGTCAAATAACGAAAATGGTTAAATTTAAAGAAATATTTATTTAAAGGATAAAATTGATAAAATAACTATTTTAATTTAAAAAACTTTTATTTAAAAGATAAAATAAAAAAACAAATGTGAACATCAAAAAGAGAAATCTCTTTTTTTATATATAAGTATACATTATTATTGTTAGTATTATTATTTAATTATATCTTGTGCTTATGCTTTTATTATTTTTAATAATTATTTTGAAAATTATATTGCAACCTGGAAATTATATGGGCTATGGGGTCCTATTTTTTGAGGCAACCAGGCCCAAAGGGCCAAAGACACCATAACCTTAGAAGGGGTTCTTTCATTTTACAACTCTGATCTAATTTTTCCCGTCACTCTTTCTATCTCTAAGCTTAGTTCCATTTTCCTCCTTCTTGCTCTGCCTTCTCTCTACTCTTACACTCATTTGAACCGTTGAAATTTCAAATAGGTCATGTGCTTTCGTTCACGGAGTTGAGAGCTTCCCATTCATCCGATTGAAATTTTGATTTGGACGGGTAAGTCAATTTCTCCACTCGTCTTGAACCCAGGGCATGCAACTAGTGGTGCTCCTTTTTTATTCTCTGCCTATTCTAGCTCTAAGAGTTGTTTTCATCACCATTTAGGTGGTTGTAGGGCACTGTTTGGGTTCTCTTGTGAAGGCACTGTTAGGGCACTCTAGTTGGCTATACTGCTCAACTTCAAGGTAAGAGGAGCTAGTTACATTTTAGATGTTGTATGATATGCCTGTTTGAATTATTTTGATTGTTTTACTGTATGCTACTTTTGGTGATGAGCATGTTTAAATTGTGTTTGTTGAAAATGAGAAATTGGTGTGAACATGGTATGCTGATTTTCACTTGACTTGGATGAGTTTGTTGGCTGTAATTGATTTTGTGGGAGAGGTGGGAGTAAGAATTCTATAATATTGGTCATATGGACAATAATTAGGTGCACAGGTACTGTTCTAGGTTACTGTAAGGGGAAGTGAGATAGGGAAATGGGGAAATTAGAGTCTAAAACACCATAGTCAGTTTGGATGACTTAGATAAATAACTTGTGGCTTGTCGAGAGTACTATGTTGGTAGGATAGATGAACCTTAAAAACCTGAGTTGGCACATCCCTGATCATAGAGCAGCCCTGTCCTGGTCCAGTCAGTTGTGACTAGTCATATGTGCTGGTGTTGAAGGTGAGTTTGATGCGTTCAGACATTGAGTTCTTCTCCGGTAACCAATTGGGCAGTTGGGTTAGTTTAGATGAGTGAATGAAACTGGTTAGGAGCCTAAAACTGAGTAAAAAAAATCATGTTCAATGTGGTAGAATTGAAATTGGGTTCTTGGGTTAATGAAATTGGAGTTTTAAGTTAAATCTGAGTATTATTCACCTTAGAACCATGTTAATAAAGAATTGTCTCGCATAGCGAGACCCTATAGAGGGTGCTCATTGTCTTGGAAATTCGCTGTGCGAGCTGGTGCACTATGCGAATTTCCAAAGGGTGATGCTTACTGTTTATGGACTCGCCATGGCGAATCCTGTCGCTATGCGACTGGTGGTGGTCTGGGATTACTGCCCATTTAATTCGAAGGGCGAGTGAGGCGCATAGCGAGAACTTTGGGGAGGTTGGTCTCTGTCGGGGTTCTCGCATAGCGACCTGGGTGCGCTATGCGAGATGTTTGAAGTCTGATGTATGTTGCGACTTAATTCGCTATGCGAACTAAGGTGCGCTGTGCGAGATCCTTCTGTCTCGCCTTGTGGGTAGGATGCGTTGTGCGAATTCTTTCGGGTCAAGCCTTTTCTTTTGCTCTCTATCCTGATTGATTCTAGGGTGTGAGGTGTTTAGGATGCATAAAATGATATGATCATGTGATTTATGTGGGAAGTGTATGAATGTATGAGATGTGTATGGATTCACTGTGATAATATGATGGTATCTGGATATTCATGTATGGGTTAAGTTTCAAAGTGTCAGTACGGTTCATAAACGTAATTCCATGGTCCTCAAGGAGAGGATACATGGTGGTGCCCTGGTGGTGTGTAGAATGATTGCATGGTAGCTCAGTCTTGGGGGTTTCCCTGACGCTCCAATGGTCTTTCATTCTCAACTAGAGATGATTGATCCATGTGGTGAGGAGTAGCAGGAGGTCCTAGTCTTTGAGGCTTCCAGTATGTTCCAGGGCGCGAAACAGACTAACATCGTAAGTGTGGTAGGGTGGAATCCATTGGCAACGACTTTGAAAAGCAGTAGAGGCCACCACGAGTGCATAACCCGCCATAGCTCAGTAATCATTCTGGTCCGGATGAGTCAGTCTGTAAAGCAATAAGTCTTTTGATGTTAATGTATCATGTTTGAGTGACTTTTGCATGTCATGTGTGATTGAATAACATGATTTTTATATCTAGCTCACCCTTGCTTGTTTGTATTGCTTGTGTATGTTTCTTCTTGCGATGATCCTCCATTTGGATGAGAGCAGATGACGAGGAGGTTCCTTTGGAGACAACTTTGGAAGTTGAGGACAATGCTGCTGCCTAGTCTCCTAGGATGTTATTAGTGGATTCTGTATTCTAAAATATTATTTCCCTTTCAGCTTACATTTTAGATCTCTTTGGAGTTTAAGTTTAGATTCTGAAGTTACTTTGAGGATGACTGTAATCCTATTTACTCTCAACTGCTTTCCTATATTATGCATGATGACGTCTTTATGATATATGCTTTCTATATAATTGGGATGTCACACAAGTAGTCCTTTACTTAGTACAAAATGTGGAAGGTAGAAATTTCAAAGATTAAAAAGTAAAAATGATTAATAAGAAATGACAATGTGTGAAACCTCTTTTCAAGTAATACTTTTAAATGTATTAAATAATACTGTAAGTTTTTTTTAGAGAACTCAATAGGAAGTTGGTCATCTTTCTTGTAAAGTTTTCTTTTTTCTTTCTAAAATATTTGTCTTCTTTGTGGTTAAAGTATCTGGTTGGAATTATTGTGTAAAACTCTACAAATCTCACATATCAAAATAAAAAATAAAGTGAGTTTTCGTTCTTTTATCTTTATATCCTATTATATTCACAAAATCTTGTAGAGGATGGAGTTTAGGTGATAAAAAATGGAGGAGATTCTTAGCTGATTTTAAGGTGAAACTTATTTTCTTTTAAACCATAGATAATTTATTCTATCACGAGGAGGGAAAACCATATATCATTATTGGTTTGTAATACTTTAGGTTTTAAGAATTTTAATCTTTAAGTGACAAGTATAAGATTTATGGACTCCGAGTCAATATATAAATTCAAGTAAATTGAGTATAAAATTAAATGTTTGTGAATGTGTGCTTTATTGCATAATGTATGTTTGATGTTGTAATTTTCTTTTAAATTCATTTGAATATTACGAGCTCTCAAAGTTATTATTAGCTTTTTTTTGTGTTTGATTGTTTTATCTTTTTTACATATTCATGGACACCTATATTTACTTGGTAAAAAAGTAATTAAATAACTATATATGATATTTACTAAAATATTTATTTATTATATATTATATATTATATATATTTTACTAACATATTCATGATTAATTTTTTGTCATCTCTAAGATAATACGATGGTTTACAACCACAAAACTATAATAAAGTAGACTGATTTACTGTGAAATTTATGAACTATTCCATCATTTTTATTTTTATTTTTATTTTTCATCTCTCTCTATAATATATAATTATATAGATTTTCTTAAATTTTTAATTAGGATAAATTAATAACTTTACATATTAAATTGCTTCATCATATTTAATATTATCATTTAATTTATAAGTTTAATAACTTAAATTAAAATATTGTTATATATTCATGTGATTTAATAAAAGATCAATTTCTAATTATTTTAATTTTAATTTTTAGTTTAAGAAATATTCGTATTATAATAATTATGGGATGGAAAGACTAACCACGTGTGAAATTGTAACGGGCTTACCAGATAACAACATTGTTGAAAAACTCGCACGCATTCCAAAACGTAGAATATAAAAATAATTTTTTATGCATTTTAAGAAAATATCAGATCAAATTTGTTAACAATCAATTTTTAAAGACATGCTAAATCTCATGTTCCTCAAACATAGGGTATAAAAACGTAAGGAAGATAAATAATTTTTTATAAACAAAACAAAATACCCTAGTTTAAATAAAATTTTACATTGTTTATATTAATTCACAATCTTTTACATGATTAGACAATTTCCCTTTTCATTTTTAATTAAATAACTAAAAAACCATTTCACTTTTTTTTTCTTTTTCTTTCCTTAGAACCTTTTCCTTTTGTTTTCTTTTTAAAATCATTTAATCATAGCCGAGCAAAGATCGACCAAGATGGATATTATTATCAGATAAATAAAATAAGTCGACAAGAAAGAAAATAGAAAGTACGAAAAAGGAACAGAGGAAACCAGTGTCATTATTATTCAGCTCCGAGCTGCGTTTTTCTTTCTTCCGATTCTAACATACCCAATCTTCAATCAGGTAAAATTTCTCACCTTGTCTTCCTTTCTTCTCTCCCCATTTGACTTTGACCATTTGCGTTTTCTGTTCACAACTTATGGTTCCCAATATATTATTTATCTTTACTCTTCTCTCTTGTCTGATCATGTGTTTGTTGACTGCTTGCTAAGGTTGTCGGTGATGCAATTGTTGGTTTTGTGGTGAGAGAAGAAGGTGTTGGGGGCGATAATTTGCACTTGGTTTGTCTTTTTCTGATGGCTCACGACTTAACGGGGCAGCTTGTGGGTTCAGAGATACATGGGTTTCACACCTTGCAGGGTACTTGCATTCTTCTCCTCTTACCTCTCTATTTGATTATGCTCGTGTTTGGCTGAACCTACACTTTTATTAAGTTTCAATTTATTTTTTGAGAACTTCCAACTTTTTTTAACGTTTCTTTGTGCCATGGTTTTATTTATTTTTTGGGGGGGTTGGATTTTGAGTGGAATTTTGACATGTTGGTTCTTTTGTAATCGGATTGGCGAAAATCTTTGAGTTGATAAAGTCAAGAGAAATAACACCCTCAGATGTTAAAGTTTCCGAAGGTTTTATGTCTTGAGGTGCCTTTGTTTTATTCATTAAGGATTTTACTTGTAAGAACACAACTAAGAAACAAGCTTGTTACTCTCTCAAATGCATATGAAATTCTTGGCCAACTTTTATCATTGAAGAATACTTGTAGTCAATTTTAATATATGATATATGATGACATGAATTGTATCACATGCAATTAAGAATTTTAATTGCATGTAAACTTTGTTCTATCTCTTAAAAAAATATTTTATGAAAATTTTCAAATGTTCATTATCTAAATATATCATCAATAATCAAACCATTTTATCACCACAAGTTATAATGTGTCTCATACAATAATATTTATATCTTATTGCTTTATTATTTACAGATAAATAGACTTTCAATTACTTTTGGTTGTGTGAATGTGTCTTTAAAATGTCTCCCACACTTATGGTGTCTCTTTTTATTTGCTTTTGATCCATTGTCTTCCATTCTTATGGTGCTTAAAGTGACAGAAAAATAAGGTCAGCCAATAGAACTATTGAATACAATATAGAGCAATCCAAGGCACTTAAGAATATAGTTTCTTATAGATAATTACTCGTAGACACTATGAATAATGTAAGAGTTGCATAAAGAAAGACGTTTCTAATTGAAATATTGGCAGAGGCGTAGAAACAAGAATTGCATGTTCCATGCAGTCATGTTTTAAAAACAGAAACATATTACTCAAAGAAAGAGAATCTCAAGAACTTATTTTTCTGTTAAAATTGTTGGATAGAAAAATTTAACATATAAAACTAGAACAATGGAAGAAATAGTAGAATATCCATCAGAATTGAAACACAAAAAATGTTTATAATAACCAACATGAATATTAAATTAATAGATGAAAAAATTTAGGATAGTCTGGGTTGAATATTTATATATAAGTAAACTGGATTTTGTATTTTGTGTTTTTCTCCTTTTCTCAAGAGCTGAGCACTATTTATGAGAATAAGACCCCAAAAGCACTTCCTACAGAAGTGGCACACCCCGTTGAGAAACTAATTAATAAAAGATCCTTCAACTCAGAAAATCAAAAAAATAGAAAATATCTGTTTAACGTGTTAAATATGAATCCTATAAAAGAGGAATTAAGAAGATAGTGGGTGGTTTTACATATTAAAAAAAAACACTGATTTCAAAATAAATAGAATGATATTTTAGATTTTAAATTACGAATATAATCATATATTCCAACAGTTTTTTGTCTTCTAAAGATGCTAGAGTGTGATTTTGAATGCAACCTTGAAGTGAAGAAACAAAGTACTGCTGGTTTGATTGTAGATTGTTTCTCCTTCGTCAAGTGTGAACTTCTCTTGGTGTTTCTGTGGAAAACAATTAATATAGGATTTTGTTGATTGATCTAGTATTGGCTGCTGTTTAAACTTGATGAAGTTCAAACATTTTTGGAAGAACTGACAACAAAATCATTCCTTGAGAACTTAAATTATGGGTATTGGTACTGAAGTTAAAAAGAACATGGTACCACGGCAAATCTCCATTTTTTATGTTGTCTCCTTATATTAGAAAATGATTTTCCTTGCTTTTCAAAAGGCTTGAGTCCCGTATGGATATAATTTTCTATTTGCGCCAGTAGAAAAGAAAATAAGGAGGCAACTTGAATTGAATTTCTACCAGAAGTTAAAATTAACTTATGGACTTTATTTTTTTTAAAAGACTTTGCTTAAAACTAAGGTGCATAGTTGACTTTGACTTATGAGAGAAATTGAATTCATTTTACCTTCTTATTTTCTTCCAGTAAGTTAATATGAAGTAATTTATTGGAACCGTACTGGCACTGACTTAAACTTAACTGAACTTCTCTGAAATACTATTAATAATAAATTTTATGTATTGTGTTTGTGATGATTATGAATAAATTGTTCCTCTTTATGTTTCCACTTATCAGATAGATAGTTGTGACTGGCAATGTTGTTATATATTAATTTGAAATTTTACATGCTCAAACAAAATGTTGCAACATATAGCTAGAAGGTTCATGATTGTACAAGGATTAGTCAAAAGACTCAGTAAGCCAGCTGAGATGTCAAACATAAATATCTATAATAGATAGCTTTTGTTAGTATGTAAACTGATTAAAGGAAGTACAAAGTTAAAACCTTTAGATGTGAAAGCATCACTTTAAACTGTTTGTTGATTTGTTTTTCTAAATTAATTTCTTATTCGTGGCCCAGATCTGGATGTTAGTAATACTATGGAGGAAGCAAAAAGCAGATGGCTTCGTCCAAATGAGATACATGCCATACTCTGTAATCACAAATATTTCAAGATCAAGGCCAAGCCAGTGCATTTGCCCGAAAGTAATATGCTACTATTAACAGAAACATGATGTTTGTAAATTAGATATGTATTGTCGTATAGATTGCTTCTCATCATTATTGTTCATGTATCTCTCAACTTCTTTTTGTTATTTTCATGTAGCATTTTTATTTTCTTGCTCCTGAGCATTTTATGTAGATCTTTCACTCTTGTTGAAGCACATCTTAACAAAAAGTAAGATAGGCAAAAGAAGAAAAGGTTTTATACACAAATTTATGCATTGTTCAAGTGTGTGTTTTATGAGCATAAAGCAATGTGTAAAACTTCCATGATTAATTTTTGGCATTCTTCCTTCATAGATTTATCGAATGAAATTTTAGCTAGGGTAATATTTTGCATCTAACTAGTAAAGTGTTTGCATTATTGAGAATTATATGGCGTCCAATAGGATTCCAATCATTACTAATGTTAGATTATAATTTTGTTTGTAAAACAGGTGGTACTATTGTACTATTTGACCGCAAGATGCTTAGAAATTTCAGAAAAGATGGGCACAATTGGAAAAAGAAAAGCGATGGGAAAACTGTTAAAGAAGCTCACGAACACTTAAAAGTGAGGATTTCATTTCCTGGTTGTTTATTTAAAGTTTGGTGTTAGCAGCTACTCCATTCTGAACAAGTATCCTGGGGGTTTTATTGGTTTCTCCTGTGTTCAATTTGATCATTTAATGCTTTCTCCTACTATAGCAAAACTGGTATTTTTTTAATATAGTACCTAATGTTTTCTTGTGCCTTCCTCGATCCTGTTTAATTAGACTCTCAAATTAGTTTAACTAAAGTTTTGGTTTATTGGAGTGGCCAGTGGCATCAGTTGATCAGTGTTTCTTCTTCTAAGATGACAAATAATGTTAAACAAATTAAAATTTGGAAAGTGATAATTATCTTAAAATTACCGAATTTCAACTTATGGCCCAGTAATTAACTTTTCATCCTATACTTATTAGCTAGTTCAATGGCTAGTTTTAACCAAATCTTTATTCAGAAGCCTTCTTATAAACTTTGAGCTATGCTTATTTACGAAATTTGTCAGACAAACCCTTAGCGAACTACACCTAATGGTATATGGGCAGCTTTTGTTATCTTGTAATATAGAGGGGGACCAAATCATCATGTTTTATATCATCAGTATAGTAAGCTTTCCTTTTCTTTTAGTATGGTATTTGGAAGGGAATAAGTATCGTGCATGGAATATGATGGAGTATATCAAGTATGCCTGCTTGAGTGTTGGGCTAAATCTTTACTAAGCCACTAAGAATTGGTTAGTGGTGAGATAGTCCGATTGTTTTCATGAGAATCATAGGTTTGAATGATATGTCACCTTGATACTAAAATAGGTTAAATATTGAAACACTAGGAGCTTACTAAAGCTCAGTTCTGCATTTTACCAGTTTTATTGACACCAAATTCAATTCAATGCGCTTTCTTCAATGAGCCATGGGTGGTAATTTGGTTTGTCTTGGAGTTTTTGACATTATGTGGATTTAGACATCATTTATGTGCCATCAAAACCAGGTCTACGTAACAAAAAAAAGTATCTATACTGATATGTCCTATTAGGGTTTCTATTTATGATAATGTAGTTTAGTTGTCTGGAAGGTGAATGGGTAGTTTGTTCAGTCAGTTAAAATCATAGCTAAAATTTCAAAGATAACCCACCGCCTAATATCAAGGAATCGGGTACTTCCTCATACAATTGTTACAAAATGGTAACCCATGCATAGAAGGATCCAAATTTCCTTAGCAAAGGCCCCTCCTTCAGAGGCCGACACCTGGCAGCCAGGTGAATTCGGGACTTCCCTTTGTAGGAATAGGAGCCTCAACAAGGTTCAAATTCGAGACGTTGGGTTTGTTGCAAGACTCGATACCATTGTAACAAAAAGATTAGCCCATTCATACAAGGATCCAAAATTCTTTAACACTGACCCTCGACCAGAACAATTTCTATTAGAATTAGGATTATTAATAGATTTATATCACATTATCTATGCTTTGTTCATCTGCAGTTTTAAACTTATTATATTTTTTAATCTTTTACTAATTAAAATAACAGTGGTTGTTGAAAACTGCCACTAGTTTTAAATTCTAACACCATTAGTTTTGGCTTGACCAAGAGGACCGAGGAGGACTGCATTGCATTAAGTCTAAAAATTGGGGGACCAAACTAAATATTTTTAAAATAGAGAGGCCAAATTGAACTTTGTAAATAAATAGAGGGATTGAAAAAAGTAATTTAGTTTATTTTATCATTCTCATTAAGTGACAGGAGGGATAAACTATGCCTCCTTTTTTTCTTGTCTCCAATTACACTATATTTTTTTCTATTATCAACTTCTCTTTCAAACAGTTTTTGTTTTTTATATTGAAATTCTAATGTTTAATTCAAGTCACTAATTATCCATGTGTCTACTTTTTTTGCATTCCTTTATTCTTTTTTTCTTTCCTCTTTCAATCAGGTTTGGCAATAGAGAAGAAAGGATCCATGTATATTATGCACATGCCAAGATAACCCAACCTTCGTCCGCAGATGTTTATTGGTGCTTGATAAGTATGTTTTGCTTGACTTTAGGTTCCCAATTCCAAATATCGTGCATGTCTTTATTTGTGACTGAGTTAGTAAACAGGGGTTATGATTTCTTTCATTTTTTTTATAAAAATAGAATAAAAATAACTTTTGCTATGAGTTACAATTGGAATGGTTTTGTTTTCAGTGAATTTGGAGGCACATAGTACTCTTGTTCATTATCGTGAAAACACGAGAGGTTGTGTTAGTCATTCTCTTTCTTCCTTATTCCTCTACAAAAACTTTAACTTCATGCCCAAATGAGGACTAAGATTTGCTAAGTGCTGTTGCTTTGCCTGAAGAAAAAGCATATAGTTATCAGTTTATCGTAGAGATTATGATAAGATTGTATTGCTGAAATTGTGATAAGGATTATAGAAATCTTAGATTATAAGGCTAAAAATGTGTTTAGATTAGTTTATGTTTTCCATGAAATCTCTTTACTTATATTACCTCTTTGAGTCCATCCCAAACAAGGCTTTTCAGTCCAAAAGATTGTTTCTTGTCTCTGTTTTGTTGGTATTAGAGCTCGCACTACGGACCTGATTATTTGATGTCTGAATGCCAAAAGTTGTCTATAAGAATAGTGTCACACTGTTTGTAAATTTGTGTGGTTGGAAATTTCATTTATTCTCATGCGAATTGCTTGGTTGTTTTATTTATTTTTTCTTTTTTATTTGGGGAGGGGAGGGGGAAATAATAGGTCTGGCTGGAAATATGCGGTGTTGTTTGCCCATGCATATGTTTAAAGGCATCTCAATCTAAAAAAAAGTTCCTCTAGAGAGTTTGTGTCTAAAGTGAGCAAGCAGGGTGTATCCACCTAAAAACTGTGTAGTAAAATAACACTCTATTCAAATTAAATCAAAGGTGTATACATCCTTACTTAATTTAGAGGAGCCTTTTCCTTCCAATTTTGGATATGTGCCATTTACGCTTTCTCATTTGAACTAGTTACTGAATAATTTGGTTTTCTAACCTTAAAAGTTTGTGGTGGTTTATGATACAGATACAATTGCAAAAGTTCTCCTGTTACACCTGTAAATTCAAATTCAAGTTCTGTCTCTGACCCTGCGACATCTTGGGTTCTAGCAGAAGACTTAGATTCTGGGGCGAAAAGTGCTTTCAGTGCTGGTGAGAAATAACTTTTAGATGATTCTAGTCCACGTTCTTACAAGTTATATTCATAAGGCTTTCAATATGAGTGACTTGTTACATTTCTTTGTGATATTGCGAGCTTATATTCAGATGCTAAGTGTTGGTTAGGAAAAATAAAATAATAAGCAGAATAATAAGTTAAGATAAAGAGAATAATGTCTTCATACATTGAAAATTTTCATTCCTTCCGGTCCCGTGACTTTAGTCTTATGCATCTTTCCAAAGGAAACCATAAATAATAGTCCTTTTATTGGTTATGATCTAATGATCCCATATGTTTTGTTACTGTTGCTGTCATACGTACTGCTGCTTTCTTTCCTTGACTAGGTATATATCCTCATACCTTCTACTTTTTTTGAAATAAACAGAGCTTAATGACAATTTAACAGTAAAGTTATGAAGAGAAGCTTCTGAGATTCAACACTTGATGGATGACCTAGTTGTTTCAAATGCAACACTTCGACTACTCTAAGGAGGTAATATTTGTGTTTTAACAGAACCGATTATTTATCGTGAAAGAACCTTGGTATTTATATCTTAAATTTACTTTTGGCAGGCAAGTGGTTTACAATTCATATCAACAAAAATCAAAGTTTACTATGGAAGCTGTGACAATGTAAGATACTAATGCCTTTATTTCAGTTATATTCTTTATTAAGCTGTGTCAAGTTTTTTCATTAATGCTTTATGGGAATATTAGTTCGTTGATTTTTCTTAGAAAAATGATAGAGATTGGGCATTATTGGTCCCAAGTTCCCACATTTATTAATATAAATTTTTGGTGAAGTATTCAAGTGTTTGAGTTTCCCCTCTTAATAACTAGCATTTGATGGTGGGTTTCCCAAGTTTTCGAGTACTTGTTAACTTAGTATATTAGAGCTAGTTGTCCATGTCTAGGAAACGGCTACCTACCAAAGGTTTTGACTGGTGTGGTGGGTTTTAAACAAGAAGTTGAGTGAAATATCATCATGTAAAGTATCAGAGTGAAAGTCATTAACTGGTTGACTCTCTGGGACATTTCTATGATAAGGACTTGGGTCTTATGAGGTGTCAAAGTTCCACCTCGAGTATAATGGGATGCTCCCTTAGTAGCTAGCTTGTGAGGGTGAGTTTGTCAACTGCATGGATACTTATAAAAAAATTTAATCGGAGAGAAACTAAGTAAAACAAAAGTATGGGAAGTGTAAGGTATTCCTTGAAATGGAGGAAAATAGCGCAAATCTTGGGGTAAATTGGCGTAATATATATCTTTGGCACTTATAGATGTACTAGATAATATATTTTATATATCACTGAAATTGACATTAAAAACATTCTTATAAATAGACGAAGCATATAGGATTATTGTTTATATAAATAAAATTGTCTCTTAAATATATTATAATCTTGTACTGCTCCTTCTTTCTGTATTTTTCCAGTGATACTTTCTTTGTGATAGTTGCTGTTGTAACCTATATTCGGCTTTTGTTAGCAGGTATCTGGTACTCCTTCGGCAGAAGTTCCTTCTTTAGGTAATATAACTCAATTTATAGGAGCAATAGTGTTCCTTACAGTTTCTCAGAAAGTGTTAATCTGCTTAAAAATAGTCCTAAATCTTCTTGTGGTTTTGACACCTTGGGCACTTTGGTCAATGAAGGCTTGCAAAGTCAGGACAGCTTTGGAACGTGGATGAACATCATGTCAGATGCACCATGTTCCATAGACGAGTCAGCTCTCGCAACATCAATTTCTACTGTTCGTGAACCATATTTATCACTGGTGGCAGATAATCAGCTATCTTCTTTGCCTGAACAAGTATTTAATCTCACAGAAGTGTCCCCTGCTTGGGCATCTTCCACTGAGAAAACAAAGGTTTCCTTTTGTCTCTCACATGTCTTATTGCTAGTAATTATTTTGTGTTATAATTGTATCCTTTAGCACTAAATGTAAAATATAGTTTCTTAGTTTATTTGTCTATATTTTCATTCAGTCTTTGATAACTTAGTATAGTTGTGGAATTTCAAAGTTTCATTATGAAACTGAAAACTTAATGATGAGCACAAACTTTCATTTTCAGCAGGCACCATTAGCATTCTGACTACCGTTTTTTATTTTATATTTTTGCAATTATAAGTAAACATTTTATGTCTCTTTACATCTTGCAGGTCCTGATAACTGGATATTTTCATAGTGACTATCAACACCTTGCAAAGTTCAACCTAGTGTGTGTCTGTGGTGATGTAAGTTTTCCTGTAGAAATTGTTCAGGTCGGGGTTTACCGATGCTGGGTGCTACCACACTCCCCTGGATTGGTCAATATCTATTTGAGCTTTGATGGCTACAAGCCTATTAGCCATGTTGTTAATTTTGAGTATCGTACTCCCATTTTGCATGATCCAACTGCTTCAATGGAAGAGAAATACAACTGGAATGAATTTCGACTTCAGATGAGGCTTGCTCATTTGCTCTTTTCTACCGACAAGATCCTTGATATTTTCTCAAATACAGTATCACCAAATGCTCTGAAAGAGGCTAGCAGATTTTCCTTCAAAACATCATTTATCTCCAAAAGCTGGCAATTCTTGATGAAGTCAATTGACGAGCAAACAACTCCATTTCCACAAGTAAAAGATAGCTTGTTTGAAATTGCATTGAAAAACAAATTAAAGGAATGGCTTTTAGAACGAATTGTTGTAGGCAGCAAGAGTACGGAATATGATGCACAAGGGCAAGGTGTACTTCATTTGTGTGCAATGCTTGGATATAGTTGGGCAATCTCCTTATTTTCTTGGTCAGGCTTGTCTCTAGATTTCCGTGACAAATTTGGATGGACAGCTCTTCATTGGGCAGCTTATTATGGAATGTATGATACATCGATACCTTACTTATCTGAACCATTACCCTATCTGCAACCACATTGACCTTAAAATCATTTTGACTAGACTTCATATTCAAGTTATTTTCCATTTTCATTATAAAGATAAACAATAATCTCTATGATGTTTTCATGAAATTAGACACCAAATGATCTTTTCAGTTTCCATATAGCAATACTTTCTTCTATGCTTTTTTTCCCTCCTTTTAATCCAGTAGGGAGCCTGAACGAACTTTTCATTTTTGTTTCTGCAGGGAGAAAATGGTTGCAACTCTGCTGTCCGCTGGGGCAAGGCCAAACCTGGTCACAGATCCTACTCCGAAAAATCCTGGTGGGTGTACTGCTGCTGATCTTGCTTATACGAAGGGCTATGATGGCTTAGCTGCTTACCTTTCCGAAAAGTCTCTGGTTGAGCAGTTCAATGACATGAGCTTGGCTGGAAATATCAGTGGCACACTGGACACTAGCTCAACTGATGTAGTAAACACTCAAGAACTTACTGAGGACCAGTTCTATTTAAAGGAGACATTGGCAGCTTACCGTACTGCTGCTGGGGCAGCGGCACGCATTCAAGCTGCATATAAGGAGCATGAGCTAAATCTACGATACAAGGCTGTTGAATTAAACACCCCAGAGCATCAAGCACGTCGTATAGTAGCAGCAATGAAGATTCAACATGCCTTTCGCAAGTATGAGACAAAGAAATCAAATGCAGCTGCTGTTCGAATTCAGCATAGATTCCGGACACGGAAAATCCGTAGAGAATTTCTTAATATGCGGCGTCAGGCTATTAAAATCCAAGTAAGACCTTCTCTTCTTGTCTATTATTCTTCATTGTCTTTAGTAAACATACCGTGTAATGTGATTTCTGAATCTGGGAATGGACTAACATTCCCATTGGAAGTGTAGTGGTAGATAACAACAATGACACTTGAAAATGTATTGTGATTGTTTGGTTAAACCAACAGCTTGAGTTGATGATACAATTTATACCCTGGAAAAGGTTCATGGTATATATGTTTTCATTGCAGGCTGCTTTCAGGGGCTTTCAAGTCCGGAGGCAATATAAAAAGATCATATGGTCTGTTGGGGTGTTAGAGAAAGCAATTCTGCGATGGCGGTTAAAGAGGAAAGGCTTTCGAGGTCTCCAGGTTAATTCTGCTGAGGATGGGGAGCAGGAAGACGGTGTAGAGGAGGAATTCTTCAGGACTGGCCTGAAACAAGCCGAAGAACGTGTCGAGAGGTCGGTCGTACGTGTGCAGGCCATGTTCCGTTCTAAGAAAGCTCAAGAAGAATACAGAAGAATGAAGCTAGCATATAGTCAAGCAAAGGTTGGTAACATGCAAATGTCAAATGTCAAATGTTTCATGTTTTGATTTTTTGTTTTATTTCACTTGTCTGTTTACTTTGTTGAACTGCTCTGTGCAGATGGATCTGGAATTTGAAGATTTCCTCACTTCTGAAGTTGACATGTTAACTGACATATAGCTTGATATCTTCCCAGAACAAGGTTTCTCCATAATTGAAATGTAGCAAACTAGGAGGTTTTTGGTGTCTTCTTTGTATAGTACTAGCTGCATGTAGATTATGTAAATTCCCTGGTGTAGATCTGAACCAATTCCATATTGCTTAAATGTCTTGAATAGGTTGTCTGTGTTTAAGCTCTGTCTGATGCAAGAACAAGTTTGTAACTTATATAACAAGCCTTCTTTGATCTGAATAGACCTATTGATGATCAAATTCTTCTGTGTTGTTTAAAGAGGATGGAGATTACTTTTGCTATAAAGGAAGAGACTACATTCACTTCTTTTAATAAATATTACAATAAGTAAAAGAAAAATTAAAGAAAAACATTAAACAGTTGTTATAAATTCTGAGGTAAAAAAAATATTAAACTTTTTTGTTATTATGGTAATAAATTATTAAAAAGGTAATGTTAAAGGAATAAATGATTTTATTTTATTTGATTTCCTTCCTTTCTTTAATCATTTATTGTTGTTCTTATTGTGTGATGTTTGCGGGGTAAATGTTTGTTTTTTTCATTGAATTTGTTTGGGAAAATTCCACGTCATAATAAAAAAATTTAAAATAGTAAATAAGGTTATATCATTTTCTACTTATTTTTAATTTTTTCTTCACTTATTTTAAACAATTTCATCTTTTAATTTTTATTTTCTTTTTCATTGTGCCGTCAAAACAAAGAATCAAATATTTAGTAAAGAGATGATTAGTTGATCAAGTTAACAAAGACGTCCCTTAATTGTTCTTCTTCTCTTTTGAAATGATAATTTTTAATGTATGGTTATCTAAAAAAAATCATATTAGAAGCAATATGTGAGATGCTTGATTGTCATAAATTAATATTATTTGCATAAAATAAAAGAACTTCCTCACCTTATTATATAAGAACTTACATTTTCATTTTAATATTCCAATGATGAACTTTTAATTTTAATATGTTACCCAATGATTCAACCTTAAGCTGATTTAAGTTATTAATAATAGTTAGTTTTGTTGATTATTCTTCATTAATTTGCCACATAATTTTACTAAATTTTTCTACCTTGTTTAAGTTATGAACATTTTTAAGATTGGAATTAATTTTTGTGTAAAGAGTTCTGTTAGAACCTCTTAATTATTGTCCTAAAACATGACAAAAAAACATTAACACTTAACGCAAATTTAGGTTAAATATTTTTAGATTCCATAGGTTTATACTTACTAATATTTTGTTGGCTAAAGATAAATTCATCCTAAACCCCTTAACAATTTATTATATTTATATAATAATAAATATACGAATTTAATGATTTCACTATTATTGTGTTAATAAAAAAAAGTTATTAAGTAATTATTTTATTAAGAGATGGTGTCAAAATATATTTTTTTAATATAAATTGAAGCTGAACTCATCGGATTTTTTTTTTTTACATTTCTATGCAATGCCTTTTAAAATAATTATTAAAGTGGACATATTTTAATTAAATTGTGATCATGATCTAAAACTCAATTTCTAGTAAGAAAGTTGTGTTAAAAAGTATTACACTTTGTTCTTGTTTTATTTTATTTTTTTGGTATTGTGGTTTAAATCTAACTGTGTTTTCTTAATTATTTTTTAAAAAAATAGTAAAAGCATCGTTTTAAACTGTAGAATTTCCGTCTGAAGGTTCAGTTATTTGATATCCGATCTGAAAAAGAGAACGTGATTGTAGGTTGGGCAATTGATGGTGTGAGAAAGATGGGGACTACGCCTGAGGCCAACGGGAGTAATGTAGCGGACGAAGAAACCCTCGGCGGCTCAATTCATTTCGGCACGGCGGAGGCCGTCGAATATGTCCGTTCCCTCACCGACGTCGGCGCCATGACGCGCCTCCTCCATGAGTGCATCGCTCACCAGAGAGCTGTCGACGTTGAACTCGATGAGCTTCTCTCGCAACGCACTGACCTCGACCGTCACCTTCTCCAGCTCCAGCGCTCCTCCGACGTCCTCGACATTGTCAACTCCGACGCTGAATACATGCTCTCCAACGTCGCCTCCACCTCCGACCTCGCTGACCAGGTCAGCCGCAAGGTGCGGGAGCTTGACCTGGCGCAGTCGCGCGTCCGCAACACGCTCCTCCGCATCGATGCCATCGTGGAGCGCGCCAACTCCCTCGAAGGTGTCCACCGTGCCCTCGAGGATGAGGACTATGAGTCCGCCGCGCGCTACGTCCAGACCTTCCTGCAGATCGACGCTCAATACAAGGATTCCGGCTCCGATCAGCTTCAGAGGGATCGCTTGTTGGCAGCAAAGAAGCAGTTGGAGGGAATTGTAAGGAAGAAGCTCTCTGCCGCTGTGGATCAGCGCGACCACCCCGCTATTCTCAGGTTCAGTCATGGATCTCTTTTTTTCCTTTATCTTGAATTATGAGAGGAATGCATATACATATATATATTACAGATCAGAGCAAACAGTGTATGCATATTTTTTTTTCACTGGAATTCTGTCATCCAATTGCAAATTGTTATATTTGGTTAGTGTTGGAATCTTCATTAGAAAATAGTCTTTAATAAGCTGGTTTCAAAAGCGCTAGATGAGTATTTGAATTATTTTAGTTTGTTAGGGTTGCTACTCCTAGTTTTTTCGAGGTGTAGTTTACGTTGCAGTTCTAAAGCTTGTTTAAACTCATCAGACTTTGCATTTTATTCATGAGGGCATCTTTATTTACCAGAAATATTAGAAGTTCCGATCATTACTTTTCCACTTGGTGTCAGAGCTCCACCATGGGCCTGATACAGTGTTTGAGAAAGAAAACACTAAAGTGAGTTAAGCAAGAGTGTATGAGAGGAAAAAACACTAGAGTGAATGAAGAAAGTGAAATGGCAGAATCAAGCAATTTTACCTCGCCCAAATTTGGTGGAGACTATGGTCACTGGAGTTTACTCATGGAGAATATACTTCGATGAAAGGAGTACCGTAGTGTTATTGAATCTGGAATCAACGAACCAAAGGAGAATGAACCGTTCAGTGTAGCAGAGCGGGACTGACTTGCTCTGAAACCAACTTAAGAAAAATGCACAAGAAAATTAGAATGAATTTGAAAGTGTGTTTCCCTCTCTTAGGATTTCATATATATAATCATTTTGGATACATCATATACAATGTATGAGACAAAAGATAAGAGAATTCTAAGTGGTACATCTAGGAACTAGGTTTAGCACAAAGCCTATTTAAGACTATTTATTCTAAAAGTTAGGTTTGTTTTCCTAGTTTTTCTAAGTTTAGTTTATGTTGCAGTTGTAAAGCTTATTTAATAAAGTCATCAAACATGGCATTTTATTTTAGAAGAGCATCTTTGTTTATCAAAAGTATTAGAAATTCCTATCATTAGTTTTACAGCTAGTTTGTTTACTTTAACATTTTTTACTTTAATACCCATTCTTACAATGATTAATTTTATTGGATGCTAATGTTTGTATATATTTTTGCGTTGAGGTCATAGAAATTGAACTTGATATTATGTTAAGGAAAAAACTTGTTCCATGATGCTGAACCTGGATCAGTCATTGCTCAGGTTCATTCGTCTCTTCACCCCTTTGGGTGTGGAGGAGGAAGGATTGCAGGTCTATGTTGGGTACTTGAAGAAGGTGATTGCAATGAGGTCAAGAATGGAGTTTGAGCAGTTGGTGGAGACAATGGATCAGCGAAATGTCAATTTTGTTGGTTGTTTGACTAATTTGTTTAAGGACATTGTATTGGCAATTGAGGAGAATAGTGAGATCTTGAGTGGTCTTTGTGGTGAGGATGGTATTGTATATGCCATCTGTGAGCTTCAGGAGGAGTGTGATTCTCGTGGTTCTGCGATTTTGAACAAGTATATGGAGTATAGGAAGTTGGCCAAGTTGTCCTCTGAGATAAATGCACACAACACCAGTTTGCTTGCTGTTGGAGGAGGTCCTGAGGGTCCTGACCCACGAGAGGTTGAGTTATATTTGGAGGAGATTCTCTCCCTTATGCAGCTTGGTGAGGATTACACCGAATTCATGATTTCAAAGATCAAAGGGCTTACTTCTATTGATCCTGAGTTGCTTCCTCGTGCCACCAAGGCTTTCCGGAGTGGCAGTTTCAGCAAGGTTGCACAAGATTTAACCGGTTTTTATGTCATTTTGGAGGGATTTTTCATGTTGGAGAATGTCAGGAAAGCAATAAGGATCGATGAACAAGTGCCTGACAGCCTTACCACTTCCATGGTGGATGATGTGTTTTATGTATTGCAGAGTTGCCTGCGGAGGGCAATATCCACTTCCAATATCAGTTCTGTTGTTGCCGTTTTGAGTGGTGCCAGCAGTTTGCTCGGCAATGAATACCATGAAGCCTTGCAGCAAAAAACAAGAGAGACAAACCTTGGTGCAAAGTTGTTCTTTGGTGGTGTTGGTGTGCAAAAGACAGGTACAGAAATCGCAACAGCTTTGAATAATATGGATGTTAGCAGTGAGTATGTTCTGAAGCTAAAACATGAAATTGAAGAACAGTGTGCTGAGGTGAGTGTTGCATATTTTTAGTACCTTACAAATATATGTCACTGATGAAATTCGTTAAATTTTGAATTATACAGTTGGCACACCCTTGCCTCGTGCATTGTGTGTGCCTAGGGTCCCATTATAAGGTAATTTTAGATTCCCAGGTTAGGGATTATTCATATAACGTATCCAGGATGTAGTTCTGAAGTACTGTAACATGATTTAGAGTTTTATCTAAAATCAGAATTGTCTAGCAGATGCTTAATCATTTAATTCCTTTATGCAGGATCCTCCACATAATTCAGTATAGTCGCCTCACCTTCTCATTTTTTGTCTGAAAATTACTTTTTTGCTTTCTACCTTCTAGATATGACCATCACCTTGCTTGTATTCCAATTCTGCTGCTCCTCTCTGCTTAGTACTGTCATCACATTTCACAAAACTGTTATATTCCATTAGCCCATCTTTATGACGGACTTAACTGCCTGCTAAGATTATCTAACCTTGCTATTTCTGCAGACACAATAGTTGCATACTACCCCTGCCCATCCTTATTCAAATATACTTATTATTTGGTCCCTCCTCATTTCCTGACCACTGCAGATACAATCAAAGCTTAGACATCATTTCTACACATACACTCTACCGGTTTTCTGAACACCCAAACCACATGACCAGATGATAATAACACTCTAAATAACCTCCATCTAAATCCCTCTATC